GCATCCGTATTTGTCTATATTCAGATGTCTTTAACTGTGTGGTAAGGCCATGATCTTGCCACTCTACAACTTGAAACGTGCAAGTGGGCTTAACCAACGTAGACTCCTTAACTTTAAATGTGTAACCCGCGCAGGGAAACATCTAGGGCCGCAAGGATTTTCAGTGAAGAGGTTTCAGGTACGTATGATACACTAAAGCTATACAGGGAAAGGAATCATGCTACCAACTTTGTCTACATTGGAGTCTGATGGAACCTAGGTTTACGCAAAATTGTGCTGGCTTAGAGTATGGCTTCGTAAAACCTTAAGGCAATTTATACACCCTAAACCCTAGACCCCAGAAGCCTAGACCCTAAACCCCAAACCCTTGAACCCCATCTATGCGTGATAGGCATATATGCGAGCTATGATCTGGATCTCTTCAGCCGCCTACGTCATACACGTGGCCAGGTTGCGGACGATACCAAAGAAGCGCTCCACGTTGAAGATGTGCGACTTCGGCTTCTGATCAGGTCAGAATCTACTTGCTGCTTGCTGCTAGGGAATGAAGGCATGGCAGAGGCATTGGAACTATAGGGTGTGGGGTGAGCTATTTTGGGTTATAGTCGGGTCATGCAGGGTCGAGGGTTCAGGCGTCTATTTGCAGAATCAATTGCAACATGACATGGAAATCGGGATAATGTTATGGGTTGTATGCTAATCCGTAGGTTGGTTCCCGACATGAGGGGGAGCCCAATAAAGACCCTAAAATACCACAATCCTTCTATATTCTGCGGACCCCAAAACCCCCCCAATCATAGTAAGGCACGGACAGTGCCAAAGACAGGGCTTGCGAGTCTTGAAGTTTTGCCGCAGTATGGTGTGTTGGATGCAGGGCTTTGGGGGTCGGAGGGTTCGTAATTTTGTGCGGTTTAGGGTTTAGGGCCCGTAGGGATCTTTTAATTTTGGCTGGCAGGGACTTTGATGTTCGTGTTTTTGTTGAAAGAAAGTCAGTTTGTCTGTGGCGTAAGGGACTCCGTCATAGGGCTGTGCACGTTGGGGCAAAGAGGGAATCGGGATACCAAGGCATCAACAGTAGCAGCAGGCCTTATAAAGGGTGTGCGCAAGAGAAAAATGCATCTGTGTGCGGCGACTGTATAGTCTGACCTGTATGTTCCCAGACACCAGACCCTAAACCCTAGACCCTAAAACCTAGACCCCAAAGGGCCCATCTCCAACCAAAATGACCACCCAACACCCGAAGTAACGGTAATAAACCCTAAGCCCGCCAAGGCCCCCATCCGTCTGGGCCCTGGATCCGGACGTCTAGGCTCACAGCCCCAGCTGAGGTATAGGGTTTAGGGTGTATTCTCACCAGAATGTTCCCTAGACCCTAGACCCTGGTGGACCATCTGAATTCTAATAGGGTTTGGTTCCTGGCCTGGGGATACGGAATATGCGATAAGTAGCCAGTCAAGTCTCACATTTTTCTATAGCTACCCTGACATCCTAAGTCCCTAGACCTTCAAACGCTGAACCCTAAACCCTAAGACCCTTCGACAAACCCTACTCTAGACACCCTACACCCTGAGCCAAGGCCCCAAATCGCCTCCTCAGCTTCCTCACCTGAGAATGGGGTATAGAGTCTTGGGGTTTGGGGGTTTAGGGGTTTTAGAAGATTTGGGGTTTTGGGGTTTGGGGTTTAAAAGTTTGGAGTTCAGGGTTTAGGGGTTTCAGAGTTTATGTTTAGGTGCGAAGCCTTTGTACCAGGAATAGAGTAAGGACGAGCACCTGCCCCCTGCAGATCAGTGCGGAACGAAGGAAAGCAAAACATCATGGAAACTGCTATATGATGGGGGGGGTTATGATATGAAGGGGCCTTGATGGAGCTCACTCATTGTATCTCTCACTGCAGGATTGAAATCTGAAATCTAGATGGCAACTCACAAGGGCGTAGTAAAACTCAGGAGCCGTTTACCTCAATAGGATGTACTTTCGGCCTAGAATATCAAAATTCCCTAAACACTAAACTCTAAACCCAAAGTAGAAGAATTTGTGGGCGTGGGTCGCATCCTATTTCGGCACTTGAAGCCTTACACAGGTCGCACTAGAAACGCAGAGCTGATCCGAACGGTGATGCAACGGCTGTCCTACTCTGGGTTTAACAAGGGAGCGACTTGATATGGTAGTTTCCCAAAATAAAGGAACCCCAATATACACCCCAAAATACTATGATCCTTATTATGGGGACCCCCAAAAAAGGTACCCCTAATTTTGGGAAACCCCCATATCACTTTTTTTTTTGGACTTTGGGATGGCAGAATTGGAGTTCAGCGCTTGGGCTTTGAGGTTTAGGATTTGGTGCTTCAAGGCCCCCCTACCTGACAAGATGGGCTGTGTCTCAAAATACGGACTCCTTCAGGAATTCAGAAATATGCTGCGATGAAATCTTTACATGGATCTGTGTAGCTTCAATGAGCAGACGTCCGGCACCAAGGCTTGCATCCCGAGTATTTGGGAGGTTTCATAAACCGAATTTGTGACCCGAAGTTGCCGACACGCCGCTGTTGTAGAACGCGTGGAACTGTGCCTTGAAGTCGTTGATGTTCTCACGACCGGTCTTCTGAAGACGGCTAGGAGGAGAGCCAGTGATCCACAGGTAGATGGCCTGAAAGGACTGAGGGTTTGGGGGTTAGGGGTTTAGGGTTTTGGGACTGAGGGTTTAGGATTTTGGGGATTCAGGGCGTATTCAAGGACATCTCCAGGTGGGTAGTTACAAGACTCATACAAGATTCGTAGGGAGATACGAGGTCTGTATGTAGGCCTCCTTTAATGGGTACCCACTTGATAACTACCCACCTGCAGGCTTGCTTGATGCTTGCTTGATGTTTATAGGGTTTAGGGTTTAGGGTTCAAAGTTAGGGGTATACTATCTGCATTTACCGGACAAGGACCTCCAGCAAAAGGAACCCTTACAGCCAGAACGCTGCACACATCCCTGCATAGCCCCGATAATCCTACGTTCCCCCTTAAGTAGATAGAACATGGGGTATATGGGGATCTTATTATAATATACCCAAAGCCATATTCTATCTACCAAAGGCGGACTATAAACCCTTAACACTCATCCTAAGAGGCTTCTGAAAATCCTTCAAACGGGCATGGGGGGGCAACAAGGACCAAAGGAATACTCATCATGGCCTTATGCAGAATGTTATACGGAAAACGTTCCATGAAGATTATTTCCCTAAACACTACACCCTAAACCTTAACCCTTAACCCTAGACCCTTGCAACATGAGGTACACCAGAAAAAAGAAAAAAAACATAAATAGGGCCGAGGTAGACCCCCCAAGGCATGCAGGAACAGTTCTTGATCTAGGGTTTAAGGTTTAGGGTTTTGGGCTGATATGGTGGTATGCTATAGTATTTGCCATTTCATGTTCCATGTTTCGGATTTGATTCTACATTCTGCAGGAGCTATCCCTATACCCTTTATACTAACTTCCATTTCCTGTAGACCTTTCTACATACTATCCGAAAGCAGTTTTTCCCTCGCTAATTCGTACATAACTCCCATGATTGAGAAGGGTCACAAGGGCTGTATGGCCCCCTAAACCCCCAGCCCAGGCCTCTCAAAAAATTCGAACATTCACAAGGACGGTGGGTGTCCAGCTGAGTCCAGCTCACGATCCTTGTAGCTGGCCCTCACTTATGAGGCCCCGGATGGGCCATTCTCATAAATGTCGTTGCTTTTGATGTCCTCTCTCAAAAATGCAAAAATGCAAACGTTAACAGGGATGGTGGGTGTCCTTGTCACGATCATCATAACGGTCATCGTTTATGATGTTGCAGACCTCAAAATGCCAACAGTCAGAAGGCTGGTAAGCGTCTTTGTCACGATCCGCACAACTGTCATTGTTTCTGAAGCTACAGATATCAAAGATGCCAACAGTAACAGGTATGGCGCTTGTTCCCCACCACCCACGCCACAGGGAGAAGGAGGAAACCTGTCACACCACAGGGGGGGAAGACCCTCAGTGTTGCTTCCGCCAAGAGGACAGTTCGTTGCTGCGCGGTGACAGCAATTGCATCTAACTCTGCCGAGACTTGTGGGTGGAGGAAAGCCACCCATGCCATTGTGGGGAAGGGCAATTTTTTGAATGACCTCAGCATCACAAAATGACGACACTGGTTGAAGTATGGTCACTACGCACACCACAGAAGGAGGGAGAAGGTCTGATTTTTCACCCAACACGAATGCTGACAGCTTTGTGAGAAAAAAACATCTACATGGAATCTATTGCACCACAAAAAGGCGAGGGGGAAGGCTGCATAAACTGACAGTAACGGGAGAAAGAAATCCCACCACACCACCGGGGGAAAAAGGGTCTGAATGATCTCAGCGGCAGGTCTTGATGCTTCATCCCAAGGGCTCCATGTCTATAGATAATACCTACATTGGGCCCCAAAGTCTATGAGCAGGACCTACATTGGGCTATTTGGAGCCCTAGGGAATGGCGACAATCAATTATCAGAAACCCGGCAACAGTGGATCGTTTGGCCAGCACCAGACCATTGGGAGAGGGAGAGGCGCAGGAGGCTTACTAGACCCTAAAACCTACAGCCCTGAACCCCAACACCCTAAAACCCCCAAACCCTAAAACTCTAAACACTAAACCCTAAACCCTAAACCCTTAACACTAAATCCTAAACCCTTAACACTAAATCCTAAACCCTTAACACTAAATCCTCAACCCTAAACACTAAATCCTCAACCCTAAACCCTTAAC